GAATTTGGTGAAAATTGGTCGAGTAGTTCCGGATTTATGTGATTTCCCTAAATGTAGGCGGTACCACGCCCATCGGCCAATTTTGACATCGGATCCTATAAAACCTCTTTGTAACATTTCGGATGTAAAATTTAATGTCTCTGATGCATTTTTTTATTGATTTATCGCACATTTAGTTATATTTAAAAAAATAAACCGTTACAAGGGAAGTAGGCTCTCACCCGATTTAGTCTATTCATCTGTCGTACGAATTGTCGAAAAGTTTGGTTTGGCAAATTTGGGTTATATAGCTCGAATGGTTTGGGAGATATATACATTAAACCTGTTAAGTGGTGGTTTATAAAGATCTTCAAACCCCCCCTATTTAATGTGATTCGTTGTACCAAATCAGAGTTTTGTATTATAATTTGCTGCTTAGTTATGGCAATTAATATGTTTTCGATTATTGTCGTTTTGTGGGCGTGGCAGTGGTCCGATTACGCGCTCCTACAACACCAAACTCCTTTTCATGCCAAAGAACAGAGTAACAAGTTTCATCAAAATATCTTAATTTCTAATTAAGTTACAGCTTGCACGGGCGGACAGACACCCAGAGTTCAAATCGTCTAGTCATCCTGATTGATAAGATTTTACAGATTAGATGATAAAAAAACCGTTAGGTTAACAAAACTAATTTACCCTGTAGCAACATGTTTCAAGAGTATAAAAAGGAAAGGAAGGGCCGAGTTCGGGTGTAACCGAACATTTTATACTTTTGCAACTTGCAAGGATCAAAGCCGGGTAGGGCTTTCAGGTGCCGGAAAAACTTTATATTAAAGAATGTTGCGAGAAAATTCATTATTCGATGAAATCGAGAATGGAATACAATTAAATTTTTTATTTTATTAAGTTATGTTAATTTTAGTATTTTATTTATTAGGGATATGAAGTTTGGGCCAAGGGCTTACCCAATTCCATTCATAATAAGTGCTAAACTACATAACTTTTAGAAAACTTATCAATTTAATTTCATTGAATTACCACACATTTTGACCAACCTAAACGGTTTAAAGTCAGCTGGAAAGTCGGAAATCACTATACAGGATAGAGAGTAGAGTCTAACGAATGTTTGAAAATCCTGATATTAGTAATATGGGGGCTTGAGCAAGTCTTCCCCCGATTTAATTCATTTTAGGCACACAGATGCACCGCTATTAAGCAAACATGCCCACTCAACTTTATTTAGTTACCTAACATATTTGCCGATATATGCGGTATAAGGTAAGTCAGAAGTTCAAAATTCTTTCTATTAGGTATACGGAGGCTAAGGAAAATGTTGATCCGATTGAACTCATTTTTGACATACTTGTACTTGTAGAAGTATACTGTTATCAGAAAAGGACTCTCTCGAAATTTCATTTATATACCTCACTCATTGATCGATATTTTCTGGAAAAAGTCAGCCACACGCACAACTTTGGTATCTGGCCGCTTGAACAGTTATGATCACATTTTGACAATTTTCATACTTGAAATTCATTAACGGCACTATATGTTCAAAGTTTTATCCCGATATATACATTGGTGCTTGAATTGTATACGGGAAGGTGAAAGAATCAGATGAAATTTAAAATTATGTTATATGGGAAGTAGGCGTGGTTGTTGTTAGATTTCGATTTAGTTGAAATTGGTCGAGTAGGTGCGGAGATCTGTGACTTACCCAAACTGTTGTAAGAGGTGTCGAAAGGATTTGTCCCGTGCAAATCTGGGTGATATAGCTTAAGTGGTTTAGAAGATATATAGTATACATTCAATCTAATAGGGACGAGGCTTTCCTCCCCTTTTGTAAACATTTTCAAACCACAAGTGTCCCTTTTTGATGCGATTCGTTCTACCAAATTACAGATTGGTATCTTTATTTCGGTTTTGTTATGGCAATTTATAGGTTTTAGATTAATGGCGTTTTGTGGGCGTGGAAAATGCCCGATTACGCCCATCTACAATAATGAATTTTTTATGGTGAAAGAACGCGTGTATCAAATTTTACCTAGATATCTTAATTGTTACTTAAGTTACAGCTTGCACGGACAAACGGACCGATAGGCAGTCATCCGGATCTCAACTTGTCTCATCATCCTGATCATTTATATAGTTATATAATATTGTATATAATATATATATATTATTCATATAGTTATAGGGTCATATCTATATCTAATCCGATTAGGGTATAAAAAGATCTAGGTGGACTATAAACAGAATAAATCAGTGGCGTTAATGTAAATAAATACAGTGATTGACAAATATGAACTTGATATTGGTGTTAAAGCGAGTGCAGCGGCTAAGCAAAAAGTACACCAACTATTATGTGAATATAAACCAATAAAGATAGCTAGAACAGAGGTATAAATGCGAGTCGTCTTCAGTGATGAATCGCCAATTTTTTGTAGACCACGCCATGTGCCTTTGTCACAAATACTCATCGTTGATAATCAAATTGACGAATGGCTAAAAGACGGCATAATAACATAGAGGTGTCAAATTTAGATTTCACTAGTCCAGTTGTTTTAGTTATAAAACGAGATGGATCACACAAACTGTGCATTGATTTTCGTCAAATAAACAAGGTACTCATTATAGATCGTTTCCCTCTTCCGATCAAAAAAGACCAATTAGATCGCTAACTTAAAATCGGATTTTCCACGTTTCGGTGGCGAAATCCTGCAGAAAATATACCCCATTCGTAACGAAAAGTACCAATTTTGTAATGTCCCGTTTGGGTTGTCCAATTCTCCGGGAGTTTTACAGAGGCACATAAACGAGGTTTTTGGAGATTTAGTACGATATTTTGCTTCACCATAATTCGAAGACAGGCTACGACGAAGAGCAAGCAGTAAAGAATTTTGAATAATAATCAACAAATGTTAAGACTACGGGTTACAGCTGAACATTAAATGATGTCAATTCTTGAAAAAAAATATTGAATTTCTCAATTATGTCATTGTGATCCAGACGCCCGAGCATCACTAGAAAAAATGGAAGCAGTATTAAATTACAAACCGAAACCGCCGAGACAACTTCTTAGCTTTCTGGGGTTAACAGGTAATTTTAGAAAGTTTATGGCAAATGATTCTATTATTTTCCAAAACTCTAACAGACATGACTGAAAAAAATTGTTAATTTAAAATCGGATATCAGGAAGAAAATGCTTTTAATTTACCTAAAAAAGCACTGGTCGAAAGCCGGTGCTTGGTATTTATACAATACTCAGAGGTAATAAACAGAGTTACACATGGACGCCTCAATAGACGGTTGCGGGGATGTGTTATTGCAAAAGTCTACCAACGACGATCAGTTTCTTCTAATATACTACATGAGTAGAAAAATTACGAATGACTAAAGAATATTCACATGCTATTAACTCAGCCTACTCGCAGTGGAAGAAGCGCTAACGCAGTTCACAGTGTATTTATTGTAAAATTTAAGTTAGTTACGGACTGTTAGAGAAAAACACTTTTAAAAATAAACTGGTGGACCGAGTTGAACTGAGCGACTATCCTTTAAATGGCTGTAACTCAAAAGCTATTTGAGATATCGATTTTAAATTTAATTATGTTAGTTTTGAGAGAATAAACAAAAGGTGTGCTTTTTAAGTCGAGATCAGTTGCGTATGGGTGAAGAGATCAACGAGACAGGAAAAGGGGCAGTTAAAGACTGTCGGGGAAATTTCAAAAACTTGTGCTCCAAATACTAACACGTTGTAAGATTAAGATTTTTTTCTATATTTATGTATTAACATATATTTCGGTAGTATATATATAAATTGTGAGCTAATAATATTGTGTAGACCATGAGTTACAGCGTTCTGAACACCCCCGTCTCGAAAAAATGGGCTCGCACTTTTCCAAGGATTCCAGCTGATTGGCTTATCCGAAACAAAAAAAAAAAATTAGCGGCGTTTTAATCTGCAAGCCTAAATGCACGAAATGGAGAATATCAAGTTAATATATCAAAAATTGGGCTTTTGGTAGACATTTAAAAAGAATTTTCGAATTTTGCGTTTTTTTTTTGCTATAATAAAATCGAAATTTTCGGAATTTTTGATTGATAATAGTTCATTCCATGCGTTTACTTGTTTCAATTTTTCAAGTCATATGGTCAAGTTATTTTTGAGATACCATAGAGAGTTTGGAAAACCAGTTTTGAAAAAATCGCGCTTAAAGACTCCGACTGTACACCTAGCGCTCCGAACAGCTCCTTCTTCGAACTGTGGTATCTTTAAAACGATTTCGAATTTTTAAATATCATTTCACTGCCGTATATTGTACATGTTAAGAATGCAAAAAAATCTATTTTAAGCATCACTTTACAAATTGATCGTAATTTTCGGTATAAAGTTAGCCATTGACTCTGAGGTGTTGAAATTTGTTATATGGGGCTTGGGATAGTTTAGCCCGATTTCAAACCTTTTTATTGTAGATAAAAGCTGTAACTCTTTAAAAGAGTTGTTTGTGTTAAGCTCGGTTTCGGTATCTCTACTGCCGTTTGATTTATCTGTTATAAAGTGAATAAACTGAATAAATTGGTTTTATCATTATTGTATGAATTTTGTAAATGGATGTGTGTATATAGTCGAAAATATTTTACATTTTGGACAATAGAAAACACAGACTAAATATTTGTAGCAATTTCATCTTAGCTTAGTTTTCTGTTCAAACGAATTTCTAGTGCTATTTAAATGTATATATATTTTAATATGTTACTCTTCTAGTATTATTTATATAATATACTACTTTATATTTTTTTATGATTAATAATTATAAATACTTTATGGTATATTTTATTTTTGCTTATACATATTTAATATAAGAAGATTTACTTGCATTTTGATAATATTATATGTCCTGACCATTATCACTTATCTAAATAGTCTTAGAATATTTCAGTCTTATTTGATTCAAAGCATTACCAACATCTTTAACGACTAATCAAACAAACATTTCTCGTTTTATTCCTTAAAGAACAAACGTCATATACGACCCAACACTCATCGAAAAGTTTCAAATGTTTCAGTTTTCTCAAATGACGCAAGATCTGTAAATTTCACATTTGAAGAGAAGAAATCTATAATACAATTCAACAAGAATAAAGAAAAACATTTCAGTACTTCAGAGGAGAGATGTGCTAGTTCAGGCTCTTTTGTAAAACAATCATGGCATCACACATACGACACCAATTTAAAAGACCAGTTTATTGTTCCAGCGTCTGCCAAAGTAAGGCATATAAGTAGCTTTGGAGAGTAAGTTTACACTTAATTCCAAAAAGATGAATACCAAAAATTATTTATTATTAAAATAATGCTATAGTCAACCAAGTTACACTAATTTGAAGATAGTTTCTCGCCGCCTTGTAACAACTATCTGAGAGGAATCTTGTTAACAACTCTTTGAACTACTAAACCAATATCATAATCCAAAACAGTTACAGTTCTTAAATCAAAATGTTCACCCTAGAGAGAATAATAATCAACACCATATTATTTGAAACATAGATACATAACTAATCAATTTCCATAACCGTATTGGAATACTAAGACGAAAAATCTACCGGTTAAAGTTATATTTTAAATGAATTTCCTCCAAAAATTTATTGTGCGTAACATTTTAAGTGAAGCTAACATATGAATTTTTTGTATGGAATTTCAACTTATAACAACATTTTAAACAATAGCAGGCAGGCTGTTTTCTACTTCAGTTTTCTTTAGTTGTATTGTTGTTGAACATTTGCATTTTTGACAGCTGCTGTGTGGCACGTAGCCCCGTTTTGTTGGAACTAGATGTTGTCAAGATCAACTTCTTCCAATTGCGGCCACAAAAAGTTGGTGATCATCGATCTATACCGCTTTCCATTGACAGTAACGGTGTCACAAACTTCATTTCAAAAAAAGTACGGATCGATGATTCCACCAGACCAAAACCCACATCAAACTGTCAATTTAGGTAAATGTAGTGGTTGTTCATGAATAACTTGTAGATTTTCTTCGGACCAGAATCGACAGGTTTACTTATTCACCGCATCACTCAGATAAAAGTAAGCCTCATCGGCGAAAATGATTTTCTTAAAAAATCGGTATCGTTTTCAAGTTTATCCATGACTTTTACGGTGGTCCAACGGCTTTAGTTCTTGAGTGAGAACAATTTTATACGGATGCAATCTCAAATCTCTTCTCAAAATCCTTCAGGTTGTGGTTTGAGACAGTCCCGATTCTTGAGAACGTCTTGGAATCTACAAATCAGTAAATTGTAAACATTACTAACTACAATGAAAAAAATTACAGATCATGAGATTATAAGAATGGCCGAAACGACACATAGAAATCATATTATCCCTATTGGAAAACCCTTATTTCGAAGGTCAAGCCTTGCTTAGTTTTATTACTATATTTTTCTTCCCGTCAACGAAAGTTATACTAAAATCATTCGGGACAGAGAAATGAAAGGGCTGATTGCATTAATTTTGGACATTGCTCAGGTTTGCGTGAAAACTTATTTTCAAGCAATTTCATAAATATAAAATATAAAAATATACATTGAGCAAAATCAGCGAACGTTTCAAACTCCTGAATATCTGTTATATGGGGACTAAGGCAAGTTTCCGCCCGATTTTATCCATTTTGGCCTATATATGTGGTACAAAGATAACTGAAAGTTCAAAAATTTTTATATTAAGTATATGTGAGCTTAGACAAGTATTGACCCGATTAAACCCATAAGGGTATGTTATTATCAAAGAAATATTTTCCTCTGATTTCAATAATATATCTTACAGATTGACTGATATTTTCAGCAAAAAGTCAATCATACGCACTGGGGTTTACATACTTGGCGTCTGGATTTTTCAAATTTGACACCGGCTCCTATAAAACCCTCTCCTACTATCTCGGATGTAAAATTGTTTGTGTCTGAAGCATTTAGTCACTGATTTGTCAGGTATAATCTGATTTCATCCATATATATTATAGGTCATATAGGCTATATTTTACTTCGAGTCACCTAAATTGTAATGAAATGTCAAAATTAACTAATTATTTTCAAGCAATTTCATAAATATATAACTCAAACACTGACCGACATATTCGGGATGAAGTTTGCTAGAATAAAATAAACCATTACTATTTGTAGTATATGGGAGTTGTTGTTACTTTCACATACTTTCGCTATTAACTATAGTATATCCAATATTATACTTTGACTTAATTTTGCTAAGGTATCTTATATATTGACCTACATATTGTTAAAGGTGCAATTGAAAAGTTTCAGGACTTTTATTAAAACACGAATATTATTTGTTTTTTTTTTTTGAAAAATTTATTGGTCGCCTTCAAAATAGTCTCTTTCCGCCTGAATACAACGTTTTGCACGTTCAAGAAGGTTATCGAATGACTTTTTTAGGTCAGTTGTCGGTATAGCGTTGAGGATGGCGGTCGTCGCGTTTTGGATGGCATCAACGTCAGCATAGTGGTTTTCTTTCATGGCCAAATGTAGTTTTCCGAACAAATAAAAATCGTAGGGTCCCATATCAGGCGAATAGGGTGAATGGTTGATGATATGAATGTGATTTTTGGTCAAATTGAATGTTGAATTCTGAGGTCTTTTTCGTGTTGTTTCAAAGTTTGCGGGACAAATCGAGCACAAACCTTTCTGAGGCCCAAATTTTCTGTCAAAATACGATAAATCGACGCTGCGGATATTGATAATTCCGATTCCATATATTTAAGCGATGATTTCGGCTCCTTTTTAATGAATTCACGCACAATTTCCGTGTTTTTTTCGTTCACAATATCTTTTGATCGCCATAAACTTGTTTCGTCATTTGATGAGTTTTGGTAAAAGTTTTACCAAGTTTAAAACAAAACTTAATGTTGGCTCTTTGTTCAATACTCATTTTCCGACCGACACTACAAATGTAATGTCACATGTAGCGCGATATCTCAGCTGTTATACAAGTCAGCTGTTATATAAATTTTATACGACAACACTGAAGAATACATAATTGAGGGATGACAATTTCAGACAGATGGCGAGACTAGGAGCTGCGTTGTTTAAAAGTCCTGGAACTCTTGAATTGTTCCTTGTATATATACGGAACTAAAAGACCCCGCTCACGTCTTGCTGTGGCTAAGTGTAATTAAATTTACATTATGTTATTTATCACGACGTTTTCAAGTATACAATCACAAACTTCAACGATTACGATCAAAATAGGATCACGAACTGATTGTATATATGATTTTTTCCAGCTTTAGTATGATCAATATATAATACTTGTATATATAAGTCAAGGATATGTGTGTACGAGTATATTAGGTATATTGGGCTAGGAAAAGTATTGCCCTAATCTCGTCTAATCTAGGAATTTTATTTTTATATTAAAATTTTATTATATATCGGCCGGAAACTCTAAAATAACATAATAATTATGTGGATATTAACGGAAGTAATGACCCGATTTTACTAATTTTTGTACATGCTGTAATCATAAAAATATTATCTTCAAATTTCAATGCTACAACTCAAAGATTGACCGATATGTTTGGAAAAAGATCAGCCAGATATAGTGGGGTCCACATACTTGGAGCCTGAGGCCTTGAAAAGATATAGTCCGACTTTTACAATTTTTTAGAATGAGATGAACTATTTTGAGGGCATTATTTGTGCAAAGTTTTTTTTTGATAACTTCATTGATGTTTGATTTGTATACTTTAAAGTGAAAGGGTAAGATTAAATTGAAAACTTTCTTCTCTCTTCTTCTATATGAAAAGTAGGCGTGGTTGTACTTCTTGAGATATAGGATTTTATCTAAAGGTGCTACGCCCATTGTCGAATTAGTACACCTGCTCCTATAAATATATTCGCTACCATTGTGAAATTTAACGCTTGTAGCTCATTTATTCAGTGAGTTATCGCACTTATTGTAGTTTTCAACATAATCGTTATATGGGGAGTGGGCGTGGTTATAATATGATTTTACCCATTTTCATAGCGTAGAGAGACGTGCTAAAATGACTTTTGCTAAGCAAGTTATGCTGAGTTAGCTTCAGAGATTTGGAGGATATGTACATTAAACCATTGAGAGGGCGGCGTTACCCGCAATTTAAACAAAATTTTTAACCACATCCACAGATGTAATTTGTAGATTATCTTCATTATCTTTCCCATATCTTTAAAAACCTTATTTTTCTTCTGCTATTATATTTTGAAAATATGACAAGTTAGTGATTTGAACTATGTTTTCGTATTCTTTATAAATACAAACGTCTCCATTTTCAATTTCGGCTGCTGCGATGCCAATTAGTATTGCAAAAAGTGAAAAAATCCTGTTGAAAACCTTTAGGTAATTATGATTTTACGTTATCCTTATGTACAATTCTATTTCTATTATGTATTATTATCTTATTTCCTGAACTTTCTGTTTCTCAAATCTACGTTGTAGCTTGTTTCTCTCCTCTCTATATTTTTCTTAGTATATTATAATCTTCCTTAATGCAGCTAGAGAAAGAGATATAGATAATGTCTGCTCCAAATCGGGTCCCATTTTTATACCCTGAACGGAGTTTGTAGCGCTTAGAAGACGTCGTCGTAGAACGTCGGAGCAATATATAATATAAATATTAATGATCAGCATGACGAGCTGAGTCGATTGGAAATCGTTTTCATTTGACAAGATATCTTCACGAAATTTTCTAAGAAATTGTTTAGATCGGACCACGATAGAATATAGCTGCCATAAAAACTGGCTAATCAAAATTAAGTTCTTGTAAGAAATCTTTTGTATTTGTTAAAAATATTATAAGCTTCGCTGTAGCCGAAATTAACGTTCTTTCTTGTTCATTCTTTCTTTTAATTTTACATTGGTCATGAATGATGACTGAATGCGTTTCAGCAATATTTTCTTTTGTATGGGTTTTAAATTCAGTTAGTTCTTAATCCCGACTTTCAATGTTTGTAGTTTCTAAATTTGTTACTGTACCTATAATAAAATAATAATCACTAATTAGCATTTCCGAACCTCTTTCACCCAGTACTGGGTAGTTATCACTCATGTTTCCTGTAAATTCATGGACTAGTTTTGTATTTTTATATTCCTTTGTGGAGTCCTAATGTTACCTTGTTTTAATTTGATTATCTTTGCCGACATTTTCTTCAGTTCAGTTTGTTGAAGCTGGAGATATGTTCTAAAATCTTCCAGTTCATCTAAATTTTAAATGTTTACTTAATTGTTTATCGTACAATTTAAAATAGGGAAGTTCATCTCGCCAAAAAAAAATATTCTCATTCATATTTATTTTTGCAGAAGCTGTAATTGCTTTCACGTTTCCGTTTTATTCCTTTAGCGTTTTGTCCTTGAGTATTTGTTATTGGTCTAAAGTTTTGGTTAAAAAAAATATTTTGTTGTCCCTTTTTGGCTTGAGCGCTTCTGCTAGCCATTGGTGTTCACACATTTTGATACCAAAAGCTAACATT